AGGGAGGACTTGTACAAGGTCACACAACCTGGTGTGACAGAGCCAAGCCCCTAGGCCACTTCCCCAGCCCCTGTGCCCATAGCAGGCTGTGTGAAAGGAGAGCTCCAGTGAGACAAACCTGGGCTAAAACCTGGGGTCCCTCCCTCTGGCTGTGTGTTATGGGCCAGGTCACCCACCCTCTGATCCTCCGCGGGTGCCAGGCCGGTGCTTGGTGTATGGCAAGTGCGAAATGCAGAGAGCACTGCTTTGTTCTGGTAGATGCTGCACTCCAGGAGAGCAGACGTGTGTGTCTATCTTACTCTCTTGACACTCGGAATCGGGGTCTCCCTCCTGGAATCCCCTCCCCTCCCTGGGCAGCCCTCCCCAAACCCACACCCACCCGCCTGGGCCTTGTGACAGTGGCTCCTACTCACCTGCCCACCACCACCCAGTGCTCTCTGATTCCCACCCCATGTTTCGCTGCCCCCCACCGCCCCTGCCTCCCTCAGTCCCTCTCTCCTGCTGCGCCCTGCTCTGCCTGCACACTGTGTTTACAAGACAGCGATGACAGTTTTTTATTTCTCTCTTTTGTCTCCCTTCCTCCCCTGAAGGGAAACGTGCTTCCAACCTCCCAGGAAGACATGAAGCCTGCAGAAGAGAAGCCACAAACAAAGGGCACTGGGATGGGGGTGAGTCCCACCCCCACCTCTAGGTCCACTCACAAACAAGTGTCCACGTGCGTGCACACACACACACACACACACTCTGGTCAGAGCATCCAGGAATGGCTGTGTTATCTGGGGGTAATTGAAAATGTCCATCTTTATTCTAGAGCATAAACAGGGCAGAGGGACACAGGGACCCAGAAGGAGGGTGAGAAAGAACAGGGGACAGAGGGAGGAAGGAAGACCGAGTGGGGAGCAGAGCCAGATGAGAGACCACAGACACCAAGGGAAGGCGGGTGACTCCCCACCACAGTGAGTCAGGAGATGCACTTCCCAGGACTCAAGGGGGTACACCTGCAACCAGCTCCCCACCCCACCGCAAGGAGTGAGGAACAGGAGGGCCGAGGGCAGGAGCACCTGTCCTAACCCCCCAACATGCACCCCAGCCCTGGGCAGCCCCTCGGGAGGACACCTCTCAGTATTAGCTGTAGGCAGAGGGCAAAGCAGGGCTGGGCGTCCTGCTCCAGCGCCTCCGTAAGCACAGACACCCCCACCTCCTCCCCGCTGCATCAGTGTGAGAGAGGGTGTGTGTATTTCCCTGTGAGTATATTATAAGGCATGTAGTTGAGGGTGGCTGGTATGAGGTGTAAGGTAAGTTTGGGGTTTTTTTTGTTTGTTTGGTACCAGGGATGGAATCCAGGGGTGCTTGACCTCTGAGCCATCCCCAGCCCTATTTTTTTTTTTTTTGGATTTTATTTAGAGACAGGGTCTCACTGAGCTGCTTAGGGCCTCACTGAGTTGCTGAGGCTGGCTTTGAACTTGGAGATCCTCCTGCCTCAGTCCCCTGAGCCACTGGGATTAGAGGCATCATCAAGGTCTCTCTCCTTAAATCCTCTCCCCTCTTTGTGCACAGCCTGAGTGCCTGTGTGCCGTTCCCCAGCTCTTGAGAACCAGAGTGGTTGGCCTCCAGGTTTCTCCAGCAACAACAGGCCCATAGACTAGCCTGCCAGCCAGTGTCCAGGAGGGTCCGGTGATGGCAGCTCTACCACCAACCAGCCTGTGGGAGACCAACCTTACACGTGACTAAGTCACACTCCCTAACTGGGTGCTGAGGCTCTCAGTCACAGAAATGTGGCAGAGCTTTCCCCACCCTTCTTGGGTTCCAGGGTCGTGTCTCGTGCATGGGTGTGTCTTGCTACAGCCCCATGGGTGAAGCTATGCTCACCTGTTCCTTTGTAATATAACCTCTTGCCTTGTTTAGGATAGAATCTTCCATGGAAGTGCCTTGTGTGTGTCCCCTTCTCTTACTGTGCCCTTGGGTGTAGCCTACCCAGATGTCAGTCAACCTGCTGACAGTGGACATCATGAAGATAGACTCAGCCCCCTGAAACATGACCCCTTGCCTTCTCCTCAATATAAGGGGTCAGCGCATGCTCTCGCTGTCTCTCTTCCTGCGGACCCTTAAGGTCAGAGGAGCCGTCACAGCAACCCCAAACAAAAAGGTATCTGTGTCTCTTGTGTGGTTATTTTGCACAGCCCAGATAGCCCAGTTCAACTGGAGTGACCCCTGAGCCTTTTAGTCATGAACAGAAACCCAGCACCAACCCTTGGCTGGGCCAGCCCAACATGAAGACCAGGCCTCTCCCTGCCCTCTAGTGAGAGGAGGAAATGCAGGTGGGAGCTTGGAGCCTCCCTACCCTGCAGTGTCTGCTCACAGATGGAGAGAGCTACCCCCTAACCACCCTCTGAACTCCTGAAGGCCAAGGCTCCAGGTGAAGACCATCTCCCTGTACCCCTGGGCCCAGCCAGAGCCCGGCCTAAGCAGGGGCTCAGCAATGTCTGTTGAATGAACAGATGCAGCCATATGATCAAGTGCCATGCTCTGGGGCCTAATTTTCTGAAGGCACAGGTTTAAGTCCTACAAGAATCAGATGGCAGCTGATTCTTGTAGCTTCCTACAAGATCAAGCTTGGGCCCACCAAGTTGTTCAGAAGGGGTCAGGATAGCAGGGAGCAAGGCCTTCTGCAGATCACTCATCCGGGACACCACCACGGGGAGGAGAGGCCAATTCCAAGCTGGGTGACCCTGTCCTCTTGTGGGCTGAGGCACAAGAGAGGCCAATCCGCCTTCCCTAGAAGCCACCTCCCCTTCTCAGCAGGGTCATCTCTCATATAAACATCTTCATCCCCCAAATATTCCTCCTGACCCCTCTAGCCTCCTTCTTGTCTTCCCTTGAGACCACAAACCCACTCCGACGGTCTGTTCAAGCACTAGTGTCCAGTCCTAACCATGTTGGTGGCTTCAGGGTTCAAGCTGAAGGTCTGTTTCAGACAGCACTATGGGGGCAAAAATTAGAGTTTAGTTCCAATAAGTTAAGGATCTAGCTGAACTGCGCCCTGACTCTGGTCATACACTGGCCCCTGGTCCTGATTACACACAGAGCCAGGCCTCTAGTTGGAGACAGGCCACGATTCTAGCACACGGCCAAAGTTATTTCCAGACTCTGGGTCTCGTTTTCCTCATCTTTCCAATAGGGGTTTTCGCCTGAGCTGTGCTGTCCCTCAGAACACCCCTGTTCAGAGGCTGGCCTGCAGCTCCCCCAACCTGGTGACACAGGGAGCATCCACTGCTGTCACCTGCCAGCCCCACCCCCATCCAACACTTTCAGCCCAAGCATCACTAATTTTTGCAGCCTCCGTGATAAATGGCATTGTCGGCAAAATGACATCTTCCTAATCTGCTGCAAGACAGATGGGTCCCCGAGCTGGCTCGCTCTCTCTAGAGCCTGCCCAGGCCAGCCTTGCAGAGGCCTGGGAAGGACAGGACAGACACCAAACCCAGGGCCTGGGCAAAGGGTGGGGCAGGGGAGGAACTTTACAGGCCCACAGACAGGGATGAGGCCAGGGGGGGTTTCTAGAAACCTCTATCCTAAAAGTTAAGTTGGGTTGGGAAAAAAAAAAATTCCAAAGAGATTCTCTGCTTCTTCCTCCCCAAACTTGGGTCTATTCACTTTAATTTTTATTTTCAATTAACACCTGGATATTGGGCTGGGGCTGGGGCTCAGTGGCAGAGCACTTGCCTGGCAGGCGTGAGGCCCTGGGTTTGATCCTCAGCACCACATATAAATGAATAAATAAAAGATCCATTTATGACTAAAAAATATTTTCAAAAAACTGGATATTGCTCAAGTTGACAACGATGAGCCATTAAACACTGGTTCTGAGGTGACCTTTTGTTCCTATGTCCCTCAGCCCTTAGGACAACATGCATTTTCCTGAGCCTTTGGGTCTGGGGGCTCTCCTCACTCTCTCCTCTCCCGGCCAAGGTTCCCACCGCCCTCCCAGCCTCAGCCTGGGGCATCTCACTGGCCTCAGGCTGCCAGATCAGTGGAGATCTTCCCTCTTCCCTTCCTGAGGCAGGGGGTGGGGTGGGGAAGCAGAAGGAGAGCTAGGGAAAGACCAACACCGGACCCGGAGATCCCAGTCTCCCCAAAGGTCAACAGAGTGGGGGCACTTGTTGCCCCAAAGCAGGTGGGCTCAGGCCTGGACTTGAAGACTGAGATAGTGCTGCCCCCTCCTGGATAGGTCAGAGCTCCTCTGCTGGGTTAGGCTGTTAAGGTTGGGGACACAGCAAGGGAGACTCTCCAAAGACAGCATGTGACACTCAGATCCCCTCCCAGCAACTGACCGCAACCTCTAGCTGTGCTTATTGTGGCCAGGTTTCTCTCACTGCCCAGAGAATCTTCTGGAAACACTGTGTCTTATCTGGCTAACTTCCTCATGATAAAGCCTGAGCCCCCCCCCCCCCCCACAATGCCCACCATCTCTTTCCCAGTATTAGCACAGCCTCCGGCACCACAGGCTCCTGCTGCTTTGAACCACCCCCAACTCCCTGTCCCTTTTGGTCCCACCTTATCCTCTTGGGTCCCTCCCCCAGGACACCTGTCCTCCCCCTCCCCAGCTAGAATGGTCTCTCCCTGCTTTCTCACACCCTCCCCTCCTCTCCCAGTTCAAAGTAAAAGGGTTCTAGTCACTGGCAGGGATCAGAGTCGTGCAGTTCTGAACTGGGGGAACCTCTTCCAGGCCTACCCGCTTCCCATCCAAAGAATGACCCTGAGGCCCCGGCAAGAGCAGGAGCTGAGAAAGCCACATGATAGTTAGTAGCAGAGTCAAGATCAGAACTCAGCTCTCCGGGGCTCCTGCCGGGGCTTTGTGGAGGATGTGAGGCTCCCCCGGTGAGCCAGCCTGGAACCCCTCTTTGACAACATGCACAGTCCCTCTCCCAGTATCCCAGCCCCTCACCCAGAACAGGGCCCAAAGGAATCCAGCAGTGAGGAATGAATGCGAAACGAAGGAATGAATAAATAAAAATATTTATCTAGTGCCTTCCGTGTGCTCAACACTAGCTCTGCTACTTGCATCCTTAATCAAGTTGCTCAATTTGGCGAAGAAAAATAACATCTGTGTGTGGGAGGGTGAGTGCACCAGCAGGGACCTCAGTCACAAATGTCGGTGACCAGTGGGCACAGGTTGGGGGAGTGTTTGACGCCCATGGTGAAAGAGGGCATGCGGGGCTTGTGCACAGTGACCTCCTGAACATTGTGGGAGCCAGGGCCAGGACGAAGGGTGTGGTCCAGTGGGTAGGCGAAGCGCCTGGCCATGCTGTAGATGGGGCTGCGGTTCTGGTAGATGGACGGCTCGGGCCGGGCATGCATGGCGGGGCCGGGGCCTCTGGCCACATCCTCTTTGTAGAACCAGTTCTTGTTAGAGGAGTTCAGACTATAGCAGGGAGCAGCTCGATGGACGGGGTTGTTGGGCCCCAGAGAGACTGGCAGCTGGTACTGGTTGGGAGCTGGGTTGGGGTCCAACACTCTGAATGGACACCGGTAGCCGAAAGCATACTGGGGAGCCCTGCGTTCCCCAGGGTGACAGATCTTCTCCAAGTTGTAGTGACAAGGGGATGGGTTGGGACACAGGCCTGAAAGTGAGCAAAGTGGGGAGGTAGGGGAGGGACCCCCAGGCCCTGGCACCCAGCTGATGGGTCCAGAGGGAGCTGTGGCTTCAGCACCATCTCAACACCAGGACAGGGACATCCGACCCCTGAATGGGGTGACAGGCAGAGGACAGCAAGATGGTCATTTTTTTCTTGTGGGGGAGGGGGTGCCAGGGATTGAACTCAGGGACACTCAACCACTGAGCCACATCCTCAGCCCTATTTTGCATTTTATTTAGAGACAGGGTCTCACTGAGTTGCTTAGTGCCTTGCTTTTGCTGAGGCTGGCTTTGAACTCTCAATCCTCCTGCCTCAGCCTCCTGAACCACTGGGTTATAGGTGTGCACCACTGCGCTCAGCAGCAAGATGGTCATTTAGGCCATCCTGACACCAGGATTGTGATACTGTGTCGTCATATAAAAACCACCGGGGCCATCAGCCTTGGGCTGCTAGTGCGCTGACGTTGTCCCTGTGGCAACACGAGGAAAACATCCTGAGGTCACTACAGCCTGTGAGCTCCTTAACGTGGCAATTATTGCAGCCTTCACGTGAGCCCCATGACATCATAATACATAACCTGGCTTCTAGGCGTAAACACTGTGACAGACATGGCGATAACAGCGTGCCGCAGGGGTGTCTCGATGTGCCATCGCAAGGAGATGCCAGCATTCAAATATGCTGCTACTTTGACCCTGCTCAAGTCCTAAGGAAGGATCCCCATCCCCTGACCCTTCCCTCCTCCTGGCCTCCCTCCCTGCCTCTCGCCCTCTCCAGTCACAGCTTACGCAGGTTGGAGATGCGCTCCTCCATGGGGACCTGCGGGCAGCTGGACATTCCAAACCGAGTTATTTTGGGATCCAAGAAGTAGCAAGGCCCAGGGCTGCATATATCTGTGACCCCTGTAGGGAGCCAAGGAGGGACCCTGTCAGCCCCAGTGGCTGCCCCAGCGTGAGCCAAAAGGAGTAAGTAAGGACTCCTTTCAGATCCTCTGACTCTTGGGTCTTTGGAACCCTTGATTCCTCATCCATAAAGTGGGACTTTTGGCACGTGACCTGCTATTCTGGACTTGTTCTGGGCTGGGGAGGTAGCTAAGTGGTACAGCACTTGCCTAGCATGCACAAAGCCCTGTGTTCCATCCCCAAAATACCTAGTTCAGAGGAAGAAATAAAATAGTGGCCACACGGGCCAAGCACTGCAAGCTTAGGTAGAGAGGTTGGTGCCAAGACGTAATAATAGCCCCTGTGGCTATTGTTAGTATTGAGAAAGGGCCCAGCCCAGGCCAGGGCAGTTCCCTGCCAAAAAGGGTGTGCCTCCCCTCAGGGAGGAGCCTGGCAGACACCCTAGATCTCAGACCCCCCAGACACACATGGCCTCACCCCTGTCCAGCCTCTTTTCTCACTGGCCTTGGCCAGCATCCCCGGTCTTCTAGGACTGTTTGCTCCCTCCCTTCCCTTCCTAGAAGTTCTAGGCCACCTGGGAAGCTCTGGGGTCCACCATTCCCACCACATCCCCACTGCCCCCACTCCTGCCAGCCACTGTGCCAAGCGAATCCAGCAGAACATGACGACCAGAGCCAAGGGGTCCCAGCCAAAGGTGAGGTGGAAAAGAAGCCCTGCTCTACCAACCAACGGTGCTAACATCCGCCACAGGTCCCCCGGGCCGTGTGGCTGGGAGCTGGCTGCACCGCAGCCTTCAGAGGGGCTGGGTCATGCAGGAATCCCTGCGCTTCCTTCTGCCCTTCTCAGGGCAGGCCTCAGCTCCCTGTGGCCTGTGGCTACAGAGGGTGGCTCCATGCCTCTCACTGCACCCACAGTCTCCAACAGTGACCACACCCATAAGCATGACAGGGTGATGGCTGCTCACGCTTCTCTGAATGCCGCCTGTGCAGGGTAAACGCGGGCTCCTGGAACATGGAGGTGTCGTGGTCTACGTAGCCTGTGCAGGATGGCCGGAGGTACTTGGCAGGCCCTGGACCTGTAAGGACAGAAAAGGCAGCCTTTAGCCTGAGTCCACTGATCCGAGACAGAGGAAGCCCCAAATACAGTGACTCATGAGAACACGGGGGGGGGGGGGGGGGGGGTCTTGGCTCTTGCAGATAGCCTACTACCACAAATCCACTGCCATCCAGCTGCTTCCTTAGGAAAGAGACAGTATTCCTAGATAAAAAGCAGTTTCCCTTGGGCAGACAATGCAGAGTAAGAATGGTGAATGGTAACAGTTAAAATTAATTAATTGAGAACTTTCTCTAAGCCTAGTACCATGCTAAGCACTTGATAATTTATTTCAATGAAGCATCCCAGACGACCCTGAAAAGGAGCTGCTCTTGTTTCCCATCTTACAGATGAGAATATTGAGGCTTAGAAATATCAGTCTACCACTCCTCAAAAAAGAAGTACAGGGCTGGGGCTGGGGCTCAGTGGTAGAGCGCTTGCCTAGCACGTGTGAGGCACTGGGTTCAATCCTCAGCACCACATAAAAATAAATAAGTAAAATATTATTTTATTACATACATCTACAACTAAAAAATGTTTCTAAAAAAGAAATACAAATGGCCAAAAAATATACGAAACAATGTTCAACATCTCTAGCAATTAGGAAAATGCAAAACTACATTGAGATCTCTTCATCTCATACCAGTCAGAATGGCAGTTGACAAGAATACAAATAATAATAAATGCTAGAGAGGATATGGAGAAAAAGGAACACTTTACACTGTTGATGGGATTATAAATTTGTACAACCTCTATGGAAATCAGCATGGAGATTCCTCAAAAGACTAAGCATGGGACTACCATATAACTCAGCTATACCACTCCTTGGTATTTATCCTAGAGGATTAGTCATTGTACCACAGTGGTACCTGCATACCCATGTTTATAGCAGCACAATTCACAATAACCAAACTATGGAACCAGCCTAGATGCCCATCAATGGATGAACGGATAAAGAAAACGTGGTACAAATATACAATGAAGTTTTATTCATCCATAAAGAGAAGTGAAATTATGTTATTTACAGGAAAATATATGGAACTAGAGAACTTTACATTAAGTGAAATGAGTCAAACTCCAAAAGTCAAGGGTCATGTTTTCTCTCATATGTGGAAGATGGAGCGGAAAAAGGAGCTGGGCGCAGTGGTACAAGCCTGTAATCCCAGTGGCTCAGGAGGCTGAGGCAGGAGGATCTCGAGTTCAAAGCCAGCCTCAGCAAAAGTGAGGCACTAAGCAACTCAGTGAAACCCGTCTCTAAATAAAATACAAAAAATGGCTGGGGATGTGGCTCAGTGGTCGAGTGTCTCTGAGTTCAGTCCCTGTAACCCCCCCTCTCCACACCCCCCCCCCCCCAAAAAAAAAAAGAGGAAAAAGGAAAAGAAAGGTGACAGGGGACAGAAATCTTGTGAAAATCAAAGGGAGATCAGTGAAGGAAAGAGACGAGGGGATGGGAGACAGTGGGGAGGGGGGAGTGCTAGGGAGTATATTGGTCAAATTATATTGTTATATTGTGTGCATGTATGAATACATAACAACAAATCCCATCATTATGTACACTATAAAGTGCACCGATAAAAAAGTGTGTGGAAGAAAAAAAAAGAGAAGTGGAAACTTCAAAGTAAAATATGAAAACAGAAAAAAAAAAAAAAAAGTCTGCCCAAGTCACACAAGACAATAATGTGATAATTCTGAGACATTCAGCTAGCAGAACCTAACCATGTCATCACGACTTTAACCCACTTCCTACTTAGGGGAATAAGCAGTCATTAACAATATGGTAAGAATTAATTTGTCTGGTTCCCATTGAAAGTAAGATTGAAAGGAAATGGAAGAGCTGAAGCCAGGACTGGTGTGTAGCTCAGGGATAGCGTGTTCACCTAGTGTGCCCTGGGTTCAATTCCCAGCACTGGAAAGAAGAGTAAGCAAGATTAGGCTAAAGGCTCCTGATTCACCACTCTAAGGCTTTTTTGAGATGAATCTGGCTGAGAGATGTGCTTGGCAGGAGGCAGGACTGGCAGGCTGGGACTCCCTCAGGGAGTGATCCCAAGCCCGGGGGGTGGGGCCTTTCTCACCTTTGATCATGGCCATGATGATAGGGGTCTGCTTCACCTCCTGCCATGAGGGCACCTGCACCTTCTTCTCTGGGTGCTGTGCATAGAACACGTAGTTTGGGGCCTCCTTGGGCCGCATCATGGATAAGGCCAGGGAGGGGCCGACAGCAGCTACAGCCGAATCTGAGCCTCAGGCAAGGAGCTGGGGGGGCCCTGCCCCCAGCCCCCCTGACCACTCTCCCCACTCCTCCTCAGAGACCATGTGGGGGCCGAGCAGGAAGACAGTCCTCTGGCTTGAGCAGCGGAGGGTGTCTGGGGTGCAGCCAGCCACAGGGCCCAGAAGGCTGGAGCTGGGGATGACATCACCGCAGAACTTGGACTGTGAAACCCAGTGTGTTTATTTCCTCCAGTTGCCGTGGCGCCTGAACTGCGGCGAAGAGATTCTAGGCTTCGTGCTCAGTAGTGGAACCCTGAGAGCTCAGCTGCTGCTTCCCACCCGCAACTGGGTGACATGCTCAGGGGTCCCAGGACCTTGGGTCTGGGGAGGGTAAGGGAGGGATGATGTCACACCCAAGCCAGCTCCTCACTATCAGTGAGGGTGCCTAAAGGTTGGGGACAGGAGTGGAAAGGGAGAGTGGGATTGGTCATAGATGAAGGGATTCACCACACACAGCCCTGGGGCCCTCTACCCATTGCCCCTGTCACCTGTCTCTCTGGCTCTGGACACCTCCCCCTGCCCGAGTCTCTTTTCCCCTTGGCAGAGGATTAGGCCAACTGCTTTGCACTAAGGTGTGACTGTCTGACGGCCCCACCCAGACCTCTTTCCCAGGGCATGGTATTTAAAGATCCATGTCAGCTCAAAGAATATCTGCCTGCTGGTGGCATTTCAGACACGGATTGGGAGGCAAATAAAGGAGGATGAGGCCATAAAAAGCCACTTCTGTGCTATGGCCAAGAGCACTCCTAGGGGACAGTGTGGCAGGGAACTTGGAGGGGTAGGGAAGATTTCCAGCCCCATATATCCATGGATGAGCCCCAGGGCTGAGAAAATCCTGGAGAGACCTCTTCACCCCTAGGAACCCAGGAGGCTGGGAGCCCGGGGGGCCTGGGCGCACCCACCAAGCCATGACTCAGAGTGAGTTTGATCTGAACCAGGCAAGAGGTTTCCACTGTAGGAACCAGAGGGCGGCCGGCTCTAAGGGGGCCTCAGTGGCCACCCCACTATAGAGATAAGGAAACCAAGGCTGGAAACGGTCAAGGACTTGCCCAAAGTGGTCCACTGCCTCAGTAGCACAAATGGGATTGGCAGCACGGTGTCTGGTCTCAGGACAAGGCCCGCTGGGGGCTCGGTGCAGCCAGCAGGCGAGAGGAGGGCCTGGCCCAGCAGCGATCTGGGCGTGCCTCAAGCCACTTAGGGACCAGAACAGAGGGCAGAGCCCCGCCCAGCAGCAGCAGAGCACTCCCATGAGACAACCAAACCTCAGGTGCTCCCTCCTCACCCCCATCCTGTGAGCCCCGTGCTGCTAGGGGCCAGATCTGGGGCTGTGACCCCCACCTTCCTGGTGGGGCTCTCCAAGTCCTGGAGACCCTGAGAGCCTCCTTGTATTCCAAGTACCTGCCCCACCCTCCTGCCCTGCTCCTGTGGCCTGTCCTGTGCACAGCTCTCATGGGCAAAGTGAGCCCCCCCAACTCCCCAGCAGGTCCAAGTCTCGCTCCTGCTCCGAACAGTCCCTTCGCTCCATCTTTGATGGGGAACTAGCTCACCCTGAGATGGCCCTCAGCTTTCTCCAGAACTCTCTGTTCTGTTCCTCACACTCCCCATTTCTTAGAGTCTGTGACAAAGGGGGTCATTTCCCTCCCTGGGACCAGATGGTGCCCCCTCCTTGTCACATGTGCCATTTCTTAGGGTCCTAGTGTCCTGGAGTGCCCCTCTTCAATTCCGTGCTGTCATCTGTCCTTCTTTTATGAAGTTGGAAGTCCCGGCTGGTGTCCAACGCAACTCCACCCCAAGCAACTCCTGCCATGACCCTGGTGATGTAGGCCTCCCTGGGAACCATCCCCAGTCAATCCCCTGCCTCCCAGTTCCTAGACCGCCCTGTGTCTAAACACCTCTGCCGGCTCCCTCTCAGCCCTGTGCCCATCAGCAACCCTGGGCTCCCCCCTCCCCAGGTGCTGACTGTCCACCTCCCCTGACATCCCAGCCCCTGCCTTCCACTCCTCTATGCTCTAGCGCCCGCTGCACAAGTGGCCTGCCATCCCGGAGACCCCGCCACTGAGCCTGCACTTCCTCCTCGTCCTCCAGGACCCTCCTGCCTTCGTGCGCTCAACCCTGGACTTGCCCTCCTGGCTGACTGCCCACCTACTCCTCTGGTCAGTTGGCTTTCTCCCCGACCCCAGGGATCACCTACAGCTTGGCACATTCCCCTCCGTGTGCCCAGCCGTCCCTACAGACCCCACTCATCCACTCCTCAGCAGAGAAAACAGAGGCCGTCAGACTGGACTCTGGCTGGAACCCTCCCCGTCACACTCAGACCAACGGCATCTGCTATTACCTGCTTCCACTTCCCACCTGGGGCCCTGCCCATCGCCTAGGACTTCCACCTCTAATCTGGTGTCTTTTTTTTTTTTTTTGGTACCAGGGACTGAACTCAGGGCGCTCAACCACTGAGTCACATCCCCGGCCCATTTTGTATTTTATTTAGAGTCAGGGTCTCACTGAGTTGCTTTAGGACCTCATTAAGTTGCTGAGGCTGGCTTTGAACTCACAGTCCTCCTGTCTCAGCCTCCTACGCCCTGGGATTATAGGTGTGCACCACCGTGCCTGGTTCATCTGGTGTCTTCTTATCACACTCTGATATCCCAAGTCCCCTCCCCTCCACCTATTAAAAATCATCTCCCCGTCCCCACGCAGCTCTTCATCACCACCTATCCCACCTCCTCTCCCCAGTCCATGAATTTCCCAAAAGGGGCATTTGTCCCTCCTGGTTTCTATTTTCGCCTCCTTTCATCCTTGACTCACCGTGAGTTGACTCCAGGCCCATGGCTCCACCCAAATCAGGCCTGACTAGATGCCCACTGACCTGCATGTGGCAGCTGCGCCCAATGGCCACTTTTCATCCTCTTCTGGACTGGTCTCTTGGCAGAGTTGGATCAAAATGCCTGACCACTCCCTCCCTTACCCAGAATGTTCTCCTGGTTTTTCTTCTCTGGTTGGGCTGTCCCTTCACAGGCTCTCTTCTGGCTCTTCTTCCTCAGCCTGACCTTTCAACGTTGGCAAATGCTTATTAATCGCAAAGGGAAAAACAGTAACTTCACAGGGGCGGGGCCTGGTGGGCACCGTCTCAACCCAGTGCTGCAAGTGAACGTCCCAACAAGGGCGCAGGCAGTGTGGGTGCCTCCTGGTGGGAGGCTCTGAGTGGGACACAGCATCACTGTCAGGGTGTCCCCCTCAAGGACGCGTGATCTAAATCTGATAATGAGGAAAACAAACTCAGATCAAGATTCGCTCTACAAAAGAACTGACCTGTCCTCGCCAAACACGGCAGTGTCACCAAAAACATAGAGACACTGAAAAGTTATGCCAGATTAATAGAAACTCAAAAAATAAGACAACTATCTGGGGACGTGGCTCAGGGGTAGAGCTTGCCTAGCATCCCTGAGGCCCTACGTTCCATCCCCAGTACTGCAAAAAAAGAAGAAAAGACCCACATGTGGTGATACACTCCTGTAATCCCAGTGACTCAGGAGACAGGAAGATTTCAAGTTCAAGCACAGTCTTGGCAATTTATTCTGTCTCAAAAAAAAAAAAAGGGGGGGGGCACGGGGGGGGATGTAGCTGGGTGGTGAAGTGCCTCTGAGTTCAATCTCCAGTATTAAAAAAAAAAAATAAGGAGGAGAAGAAAAGAAACATCTGTTGAGTAAGTTAATCAGCTGACCCACTGATTGGTCTGGGAAACACCACTCTCCCCACAGGAGCAGAGCCTCACTTCCCAGTCTCAGGCACGAGCTGGGTCTGGCTCTCTGGACTGCCATCCACAGTTGCTGGACTGCCATCCACAGTTGCGCAGGTTTGTATTGGTTATTTATTGCTGTGTAACAATTCATCCCCAAAAGCTAACAGCTTAAAACAGAAATCTCCTTCTGTCACACACAGTGCCTATGGGTCAGGAGTTTGGAAGGGTCTGTGCTGTGTGGAGTGGTTCTAGCTCCTGGTCTCTCAAGATGTCTGTAGGCCTGCAGTCATATGGGTTGGGGACTGGAAGATCAAGTCTAAGGTGCCTCATTCCCATGAAAGTTGAGCCAGCTGTGGGCAAGACACCTCAGCTCCTCCCCACGGGGCCTCCACAGGCTGCTGGCTGCCCCAGAACAAGCAATCAAAAGGGAGCAAAGGGCTGGGGCTGGGGCTCAGAGGTAGAGCGCTTGCCTAGCATGTGTGAGGCACTGGGTTTGATCCTCAGCATCGCATATAAATAAAATAAAGGTATCGTGTCCACCTACAACTAAAAAATGTTTTTTTTTTTAAAAAGTGAGCAAAGCAGAAGCCACTATGTCTGCTTTCATGAGCTCACCCTGGAAATCACAGCATCATTTCTGCAATGCCCTATTCAACAAGGGAGAGGACTATTCAAGGACACAAATGCCAGCCAACAAGGAGTACTGAGGGCCATCTTGGAGACTGGCTATCTCGAGATTTTTTCACTGTACAAGAACAAATGACCAACAGGGCCAGGAGGAGCTGAAATCCAAGCCATACATCTATAGCTATCTATCTATAGATCTGTTGTTTGTTTTTTTGTAGCACTGGGGAATGAACCCGGGGTGCTCTTCCACTGAACTACATCCCAGTCCTTTTTATTGTTTATTTTAAGACAGGTTCCTTCTAATTTGCTTAGGATCTCACTAAGTTGCTGAGGCTAGCCTCAAACTTTTGATCCTCCTGCCTCAGCCTCCTGAGTTGCTAGGATTACAAGTGTGCCCAAGCTACATATTCTTGTGTTGGCTGGTACCATGAAATCTCCAAATGGGCTACAGGCATACCCATCAGCTTGCTCTAGGTGTCTCTTAGTTGTGAACTCCACTCTCCTCCAAGGGATTCCTGAAAGTCATGCAGAGTGGGACCCTGGCCTAAACTATTGCCGTGGTCATAACCACCAGGCACTACCTTCACCATCAATTAAAGCCCCTTGTTGGAGGTCATCATCCAAACACCGTAGTGGCTCTATACTTCACAGATGAAGAAAAAGGCACAAATAAGTGACTTGTCTGAGGCCACACAGAAAAGCCTTGGCAGGGCCTGGCTCTGGCTCCTCACCCCACATTCTTTCCACTGCCCTGCCCGGCCGCCAGCTCAGACCCACAACGTCTACCACCCACGGCAAGCCTCGGTCCCAGTCTCAAGCAGGTACTTCTCATTCTCCTTTGGGGGCCCCATCCCAGTCCCCAGAGGTGCCTGCCCCATGCCAGACCCTAAGCAAGGCCATTCACAAATTTTCCATCCAGATGGGGCCTATTCAGCCCTCCCACAGAGTCTAAATCTACAGGCACTGGTTGTCCCCCAGGGCAGCACAGCAAGGGTTAACAGCCTGAACTAATATTTAGAAATAGCACAACCCCAGGGGGAGTCAGCTGTGGCCAGCTGGTCACAGCCACTGAAGCCACAAGCCTTTGTGGATGTGGTATGGCAGCGGGGTGTCTGCTCCTGGAGAACACAGGCTGCGAGGGGGTCCTCTGCTCCTGCCCCCAGCCCCGGCTTCCCAGGACGCTCAGGCGTGGCTCAGATCCTGCCCCTAGCCAGGGCCAAGCTCTCATTGGCCTCCTGTATTCCGCCTGCTCCCGAAGGCGGCAAAGATGATTTCTCAGCTTCTGAATTGAGTAATTGTTGGGACGAGCGGCTCCGCCCGCCTCAGCTGGCTGCCTGCACTTGGAGGAGCCCTGCGAATGCCTCGGGCAGTAGCAGGAGCAAGACCACTTCTAGCAGAGGCCCTTGGCAGGAGGCCCAAACCTGGACCCACTGCGGTGGAGCTCCTGATGGCGAGACCTCAGGGCCAGGAGCCGCACCTAAAGCCTGTGTCCCCTCACACAGTGGTGGCCTAGGTTCTGTGCCCTTCATGGCAGAGGGCCAATTCCCTGAGGACAGGGCCTGGGCAGCTGGAGCACACCCCTGTTCAAGCACCACCCCATCTAGGGCACAAGCACATGCCATTTACCAGCAAGCGGGATTTGGCCACAGGCTCCTCGGGTGGGGCCCAGGAAGTCAAAGAGCAAAACACCCTGGCTGAGGGCAGGGCCAAGTCACAGCCATTGCCAGAGCGGGTACACTTAGTCCAAGAAGCACTGGGCTAAGAGGCCAGAAGCACCTGGCCAGCACGCACGGCTCAATGCTGGCAGGGAATGGGTGTTGCTGGGCCCTCTGGTGTCTTGTCCTCCCAGGACACTCAGAGAAACTGAGGCAGTGTCCACCCCAGGTCATCGTAGCTTTGGAGGATTTTGAATCCTCTTTCACTCTGGGTGAGTTTCTTCCAGTGCTTTTTTTTTTTTTTTTTTTTTGTATAGGGATTGAACCCAAGGCTGCTTAACCACTGAGCCACATCCCCAGTCCTTTTCTATATTTTATTTAGAGACAGGATCTCACTGAGTTGCTTAGGGCCTTGCTAAGTTGCTGAGGCTGGCTTTGAACTCGTGATCCTCCTGCCTCAACCTCCAAAGCCACTGGGATTATAGGCGTCTTCCAGTGTGTCCTAAGTCTCCTTTCCTCGCCACCTGCCATGTGTCCTGACCTGTATTAGGCTGGGAAGGGGACAGCCTAGGGGGTGTTAAAGAAGTGACTTGCACCTCTTGACCCAGCGAGGCAGGTCCCAGAGAGAACCAGGAGAACTATGGAGATCAGTGCTGCAGGGAGTCTTGGAGAAAGATCAGTGTGTGAGAAGGAGGGCTTCCTGGAGGAAGGGAGCGTTGCCGGGATGCCTGGCCAACCCAAGCCTAGGGCAGTCATGGCAAACTAAGGTTGGCAGGCGGAGGGGAGACATGAACCAGGCCCAAGCATGCAAGGGAGGCCAGGTTAGCTCTGCTCAATTCAGGTTTGCCAAGGAGGCTAGGGAGGGGACAGCAAGGAGCCGTGGCTACCCCCATCCAACAGCCTTATTCTGAGCCAGCAGAAGACATTCAGAGATCAGTTCCAAAGTGGTATGGGGGCTTCAACTTTCCGCCAGTCGGCCTGGAATGGCATTACTCCTAATCAGCCCTGGGTTCAAGACTGAGGCTACAGGCTGATCAAAGGCCAAGCCCAAGTGCACCAGAGCCCCTGCATGGCTTTCCATCTGAGCACCTTGGTTCCTTATTTGTGATCATGGACTCTGCCCTTCAACACACACACTCCCTCGAGCATCCAAAGCCCAGGTGATGTTTTATGAACGGGGAAGCCCCAGGAGAGATGTGAGAGCGTGGTTATTGCTAGGTGCTGGCTGCCTTATTTTTCCAGGCCTGTGTTTCTCTGCCCAGCTAGCAACGAGGCAGGAGGAGGCGCTGAGCTAATCCCTACTCAAATCTCAGCTGTGGGCAGCAGTTCCCTATCTGGAAGTGACACAAACTTACAAACGACTCCTGGTGGTAGTGGGTGAATCTGTGGATAGGGATCAGGGAAGATGGGAGAAGATGGGGACATGGAGCAGGTGGACATCTCTGCTTAAGTTTTAGAATCATAAAGAAGCAAAAACCTTCTCTTTTTTTCATTCCTAAAAAGGAAGCCCTTTTCCTCTAGTCTTCTGAGCAGCCCCCACCCCACAAGCCCTGGACCCATGCTTGACCAGTGATTAGTCCCTAATAAGGACCGGGTACCTTGCTGACTCAGGAAAAGGAAAAATGAGAGAGAAGTTGTAGAGCAATGGACTTGTTGTCATTGAAGCCAGCTGGGCATAGCCCACATGCCAGTACTACTAGGATGCCTAGATGAGAGTTCTTAGGTTTGCAAAACTCCCTAGAGAATAGCAACAATTAGCTTCTGAGTATACCTCCAGCAGGCATTTATTGAACACCTTCTATATGCAGCTGCCTCTAAAGTGGAAAATTCAAGGTTCGAAGCTAATGTTCCGTCAAGGGAGGTAATATGTATGAAGCTGTATTTAAACTGAAACACAGGGATGAGTTTAGCACAGTGTCATAAGCCTGTAATTTAGGAAACTGAAGCAGGAGGATCTCAAGCTCAAAGCTGATCTCAGCAATTTAGTAAGACCCTCAGCAACTTAGTGAGACCTTGTCTCAAAATAAAAAATTGTAAAAAGGGATGGGTGTGTAGCTCAGTGGTAGAGTATCCCTGGGTTCAATCCCAGTAAAAAGAGTTTCTCTCTTTTCTGGGGAAAAGAGAGAAAAAAGAAAGAAACATAGGCACATTTAGGAGAAAAGATAAGCACTACTTGAGTACCTACTGTATATCAGCCTACTTCTGGGCTAGGCGCTTGAGATACAATAAAGCATTCAATTCATCATAAACCCAATTTTATAAATGAAGAAATGGAGACACAGAGATAAAGGAACTAGCTCAAGGTTGGACAACCAAGTAGAAGACCTGGGATTTGAACCCAGGTCTGTCTGCATCCAAGACCACTACTCATAACCACTGAGGGGACCAGCACCCTCACACCATGCGATGGCAGTGAGAGCACTGGATTTGGGCTCAAAGACCCTGCTCATAATCTATTAGGAGTTATGTAGATTTGCTCAAGTCCTTTAATCTCTCCTGACCCCAATGTCTTCATCTGCAAAATGGGGCTCAATTTTGTTGCAAACTATGAAGTGCTATACACACAGGTCAAGGGGCTGGGAAGAAGGTGGAGGTTGGGTGGGGTTGGGTGTGGAGTAGGTAGGTGGGATTCAGGGATTGGGGTCGGGGAAGGGAGGGAGAGCATTCTGGAGGTGCTCTTCCATCCCTTGACTGGATAAGAAACCAATGACAGGCAACCCCAACACTGGGTCTGGGGAGAAAACAGGCTAGAGCCTCTAGCACTGTGAACTCCACGATAACATCGCCCTTTCTCCAACATCTGCTTGGGACTAGACAGAAAGTTTTTGCCTGGGAGGGAGCCAGGAGAAAGGCCCCAGCCTGAAACTGTTAGGTAGGAGCTAAATCCAGGGCCAGATTTCCAGGAGGCAGTCCCGGCAAATTAAAACACCAGGATTTTTAGGTGGGGTGGCCTGAGTTCCTGGGTCCAAATGGCCAGGGACCCACTCTCCACCTGAGGTTTCGTAAGACCATCTCCTGAGCCAATTTCCTCCTCCTTTATGAGGAAATGGGTGGTCCTCACCCACCATGCAAAGTTTCTTTGAGACAAATAATACCATGAGACTGAGCATTCTTCCGCCCTGTGGGGAAGCGCAGACATCTCTCCTTTACAGACAGAGAAGGTCAAGGTGGCAGGATCTGTCATCAGAGCCCTGAGCAACCTCCTGGAAGGGAGTCCTAAGGAGGCCTCGGTCAAGGTGGCCCGTTGGAATAGTGGGCTTCTGTCCCCACCCTAAGCCTGGAGTTTGTGGAGACACCCCATCAACCCTACAAGGGCAGAAGGGAGAAAAAAGAGGGGGATGACCCGGGTTGTACCTACTCCCAGAGGGTGTCTTCAGGGGTCCTGGGGGTCAGCGTTTAGGAGGTCCGGACTCTTTTGGGACTTTGTCCCAAATATCCGGGTGGAGCCTAGGTCTGAGGGAGCAGTAAGGGTCCCCTCGACCCTGCCCTGGAAGGAGGAGCTCAGCACGGGCCCTTTAAGAAGGTTGGGGGTGGGGGCAGACGAGGGAGCCCCCGCCTGCCGCCCTCCCGAAACCCGAGCGCGGGTCGGCGCCTGCCCCGCCCCCCGAGTTAAGTACCGCGGGCGCCGAGCCCGGCCCAGCCCCGACGCAGAGCCCTGTCCGCTCGCCGCTTTGCTGTCGGGACTGCGGACTCGGGACTCGGGACTCCTCTACGCGTCGCGCCAGTCCTGCCGCCCAGCCCGCCGCGATGCGCTCCGGCCCGCGGAGCCCGCCTCCAGCCCCCGCCCTGGCCCTGGTTCTGACCCTGGCTCTGCTGGCCCGACGGGCATCTGCAGGTGAGTGGGGGGCTGAGACCTCTGGCTGGAGTTATGAGAGGCTCCTCAGAGGGAAAAGGGACCAGAGGGGCCAGAAGAGGCCCCCAGATGAGGAGTCAAGGGGGTCTGAGCTTTCCCCGCTCCACGCTGCGGTCTCCAGGGTTCACCCTGGGGTGGACATGGGGAACCCCAGAGAAAGCTCTTGATCTGGGTTATGGGGGACTCTGGTTGTCCCAGATTGTCCAGCTTGGGTGACCAGGGGCCCTGGAGTCAGATTGCCTAGGGCGTGGCTCTGCCCTCTGGGATCGTCTAAGCCTGCCTCAGTGCCATCCAGGCTCTGTGTGCCCGGCAGGCTTGGGGTGACCATGTTGGGTGCACTTTGTCACTCAGTGACAGTAGAAGCAGAGACCCCAACCGCAGATGCCATATGCCATCTTTGGGACTGATGTGTGGCGGGAAATGGAGAAGGAGCCACCCTGCCTCACCCTGTGTATGGCGCCCCCCATGCTTTAGCCATCACCTCCTGGTTGTTTCTGGCCCCCTGCACCTTCCCCTCCCATTGTTCCCAGGTGGTCTTTTTTTTTTTTTTGGCTCTGGGGATTGAACCCAGGTGTTTCACCACTGAGCTACACCCCCATACCTTTTTTAAGTTTTTGATTTTGAGACAGGTTCTCACTAAGTTGCTTAGGGCCTTGCTAAATTACTGCTGCTGGCTTTTAATTTACAATCCTCCTGCCTCAGCCTCTTGAGCCACTGGGATTACAGGTGTGTGCAACTGTGCCTGGCTCTAGGTGGTCTCTTGGGCCCCTGGCCTCTGCTGCCACTTCCCCCTCTTCCTTCTGCCTTTGTCTCCCGCTCCTTTTCTCTCCTTACTGAGAGGCCTGGTTAGTGACAGGACCACCCATCCTTCAGCCTCCTAGAGGCAAGGCTGGAGCCCCCAAGTATCCTGTGCCCCAGGAGAGGCTCGTCCTTTAAACAGATCCAGGCAGCCACCCCCATGCCACACCTCCCTGTCCCTAGCACTAATGCCCCAGCAGGGACTGAATAAAAGTTTGCCTTCTGAAAGGTGCTGGTCTGCCTCCCCTGTCACCATGCCAGGAATCTCAACATTACAGCATTCTTCCTTTAGTGAAGGCATAGTCTAGTTATGCCATAAGAACCGTGGCCTCAGGGCCCATCGGTCATTACTACCCATGTATGAATCAGTGCTTCAGCCTACATCTTTTGGGACCAATCCCAAGAGCAACTTTGAGCAGAGGAGGGGCCTGAGCCCTCCCTTCCAGGGGCCCAGGCCACACCCTTCTCCCCATCAGATGGGGAAGCCAGTTCTAAAGGAGAGCATCACGAGGTGCTCAGAAGGGAAATGAGTCAGGGAAGGACCCCCCTGTAATGGGGTGAGTCAGGGCTGAATTGCTGGGCTCCCTGTTTCTACCGCAAAGACCTAGTCCCCTAAGATCTCAGGGTGGGTCTCCAGAGACATGGGAAAGGGGCATCCAAGATGACTGGGGAGGTCAACTCATCCATCCTATGCCCAAGGGAGAGATTCCCAACACCCCCACCTCCTTGGGCTTCAACTGAGGGGCAGTCTCAAGTACCACCAGCAACATGCACATCATGCCAGGCAGTAAGGGGTGCTCAGAAAAGGAAAGGCTGAACTTTGACTTATTCAGGAGACAGAAAAGCAGATTAAAACTCAAACAGCATGCTGGGCGTGGTGGCATGCTCCAGTAATCTGGGCAGTTTGGGAGGTTGAGGCAGGAAGATTGCAAGTTCAAGGCCAGCCTCAGTAACTTAGCAAGGCACTAAGCAACTTGGTGAGACCCTATCTCAAAATGGAAACAGCTGGAGATGTAGCTCAGTGGTAAAGCACCCCTGGATTCAATCCTTAGTACAAAAAAAAAAAAAAGAAAAAGAAAGAAAGAAAGGAAAAATCCTAGTTGTATATGCAAAGATCCAAATCAAAAGTATGGAGCAGAGGAAATCGGGATGGGACAGGGATCCCTGAGATCAGCCCTGGAGTCTGGGAAGGGAGTCAGCATTCCAGGCAGTCCTTGCCTGAGCAAGAGAACTGAGGTGGTATAAGCTGAGGGGTGTTGGGATCAGAAGGCATATTTTCAGCACAGGCCAAGGAGAGCCATTGGGCTGGAGCATTGAAACCGTAAATGGCAAAATGAAGCCCATAGCCTATGCCCAGTTGGCGATTGGAAGCCAATGAAGGCTCTAGGGCAGGAAAGTGGCAAGGTGCCTGTGGAATTTTATAACATTAAGCTGACCTCTGACTTTAGGATTTGGAAATGGGGAGGGGGTGAAAGAGCTGGTATTCTCACCCCTGCCATCCCCATCCCCACCATGCACTGCTCCCCCCTCGTCCCCCCAGCCCCTGTGCCAGGCAGAGCTCCTGTCCAACAAACCTGTCACCATGCCTGGCCCAGCTCCCTGCAATAGGGGCAGCCCCTACCTGAGGAAGGCTTCCCTCTCCACTGTCCTGGAGACTCTCCATCACTCATCAGCAGCCTGGGAGTCGAGCATTCTTGGACTATCTGTACAAATTGGGAAACCGAGGCCCCAGGGAGTAAGCAAGGTGTCCTAAGTCCCAAGAAGAGCTCTCAGCCCTGCGTCATTATGACCTATGGATGAAAAATGTGCCTCCAGCTCCTTCCAGGCCCTGTGGAGGCCCTGAGCAGAGGAGCAGGCCCTGGGAGAGAGGGGGTGTGAGCCAGTGCCTGGAGGACAGGCACACAAGAAAGGAGATGGCATTGATTTTTTTTTTTTTTAGAAGTAGTTGGACACAATACCTTTATTTTGTTTATTTATTTTTATGTGGTGCTGAGGATTGAACCCAGGGCCTCGCACGTGCTAGACAAGAGCTCTTCCACTGAGCCACAACCCCAGCCCTAGAGATGGCATTTCTGTCCGTATGGAAAAAAAAAAAAAAAAACCCTAGGAGGTCAGAGGGAGCGCAGAGCATACAGGGACGATGGCTCCTGTACCTCTTCTTTGCCCTGGCCTGGCTTGACTGTGAAAGGCAGAGAGTGAGGGACTGAGGTGGGACCCCCATGCAGCGCCTGACCTGCAGGGTTTTGTTACCTGGATAGGAACTCTGAACTGAGGGGTGCTGCAGAGAGCAGGGCAGGGGCCAGAGCCTTGTCCCAGCCCACTCGGACTCTAGAAAAGCTGTCCCTGAACCAAGTGTAACTGAGCCCCCTCCCGCACCCACCAGCCCAGGCAGGATAAGAAGGGCCTTTCAGTGCTGCTGCTCCGGGTGGGAGCGGCTGGGGGAGGGTGGGCCGCGCCAGGTGGGCCCTGTGGCTGGCGGCTGGCGGGAGCGTGTGCAGCTCGCAGAGGAAGTGTATAGGCTGCCTCTGGGAACTGGGCGTGCTGCCCGAGAGGGTGGGCAGGGGAGGGGGAGTTGGAAATAGCCCTGAGGTCCACTCTCACTGGCGCTCACAGATGTGGGTGCACAGAAGAGGACGCAGAGACGCACGGACCATGGGCACAGCCTCCCTCACCAACCCAGACAAAGGGCCTGACACCAGGAGCCCGTCTCAGGGGTCCCTACCTCCCAGACCTGGCCTGGGCAGCACCGTGGGGAGAAGTGAGCCAGGGTGGGGTCAAAGGGCGTTGTGCTGAGCAGGTGGACAGGGGGGTGATCCAGGGCTTGGGCCTGCTCCCTCTGCTCTCTCACTGCCTCTCCCCCAAATCTTGGCAGCATCAGCTCCCTTCTTGCCTCCAACATACCCTCTGACCTGGCATGGGTCCAGTTCTATAGAACCTTCTAGAGTTAAGACTTTCTCCAGGTACAGGCAGAGCATGGGTTTCACACTAACTGTATTACCATCATTCCTGAATTGGTGTGAATAATTTTGGAAATGAATTAAATTCAAATGAACAGCTCTGTGCTTGAACTCTCTCTAGGGTAGGAGTTCCTAGCTCTCCGCTTCTCGGGAGGCTCCTTACTTCCAAGCAGGGCAAAGGAGGGAGCCATCTTATCCCTGAGCTCTGACCTCCAGACACCTCTTGGTGGGCCCTGGCCATGTTACAGCAGCACTGCTGGTCGGGAAACAGCCCCACAGGTCACTCCTTGGACACACAACCATGGCGTCCTTACCCACCCCAACAACAGCAGGCCTTCCTGGATCTGGCCCAGTGGCCACACCCCACAGAGGGCTTAGGCCCTCCAGCAGGGAGAGACGGCTCCCTGCTCCTGTGCCCCCATAATCCTCCAGCAATTGTCCCCCACCTCTCTAAACCCTCTACCTTTTCAGAGCCGAAGCAAATCCCTTCAAAAAGCCCCCCACACCTTAGCTAGGGCAGCCAATGAAGCCACCTCTGTCTTAGATGTAAGGTGTTACCCCTGAGGCTGCTGTCACAGTGGCTTGGTGGCCTGGGTGGATCTGGCCAGGGACAGTGCCTGTCTTGTTGGCCATTGCTTCCTCCTCTTCCATGCCGACCCACGCCCGTCGGCTCCCAGACCTGCCAGTTCTGGTGTGCGTTAGCCAGGCCACCAGCCGTGCCTCATGCTTAAACGTTTCAGCGTGGCTGTCTCTCTGGTGGCTTAATGGTTGGTCGGTCAGTTGTCCTGGTGCGTCAGCGAGACTGCCTCCCTCCCTGGACTCTACTGCAGAACCCCCACCCCAGACCAGCTCACCCCCTGCTGTGGTTCAGCGGGAATTCGAAGCTCAGGGCAAGAAAGCTGCCGGACCAGAGTCACACAGCGCCTCCTGTAGGCCTCCCTGACCTTTGTCCCTATTCCCTGACTTGGGTGGCAGCCTCGCCCACAGGACCAGAAGCTTCCCTGGGGTGGATGTCCCCTCTCCTTTCTCTAGGGCTCTCCATCACACTGCTGAGCTTGGGGTTGGGCCCACAGAGGGCCGGGAGGCTTTCCAACAATGGCCTCTTACACCTGAGTCCGGCTGGAGGCAGCAGAGCCCGGGAACACAGGGCCCCTGTCCCTCCCAAATTCCTGCCTAGCAGCTCCCTGAATGTATGTTTGTAGATTGGGTTTTTGTGTAAGATGTGGT